GACGATTGGAAAAAGAAGTGCGCTAATTTTCTCTGTTTCAGCTTCGCGTTTCTTTATAAAGAGTGAGGTTAACCGAGTCAGGTTTTTCAAGGTGAAGGTTGGAACGTGGTCTGTGATGCAGAGAAAAAAGGCAAGGTCACAGTCACACAGCAACAAGCACAATTTCTGTTACACGAAAAGAGGTCCGACTGTTGTGTTGTGGCTTTGTCTACTAGGGACCCGGGTGGGTCTCAGGAAAACTACAGTGGACAGGGATAGAACAACCTAGCATGAAATCATTTGAACTTCAAAAATGGTTAAATAACATTCAATTATTTGCATTGTCTGAAATAACTTCATATGTATCAAAGCATGCAAATTAGATCTGTTCGTTTGATCTTTTCCATAAATCACGCTAATGGCAATTAGGTTTACAAGCGGCATTTCATTTTCGAAACAAATTTACACCTCAATGTTTTTTTCCCCACAATGTCAGCTGCAAGAACAAGCAGACAAATAACATTTTCATGATTTGTAAACAGAATGTAGGACAATATTATAAGAATAACACAAGTAATATATTCCCCACATATTTGGCACAGTTCAAATATTTGAGAATGAGGGCAACAAAAAATATTTTAGTTGTGAAGAAATTTAGAATAAATTTAGAATAAATTTAATTCGGCTAATGCTCGCTACTTTGCAGTTCAGAACACGAAACTTCAAAATATAACAAACAACAAATTGAAAACTTGGTTTTTCACATAATTTGAATAATGAAGACGAATACGGGAGGATAAAACGCAGTTTAGAAAAATATGGCGGTAACTTTACGTTAATCTGCTTCGGGATAGAACAGGCTGTTTTGAACTCGGCAGTGAAAGTTATAATTTCATAAGTTATGAAGGGAAGGATGGTTTCTTGACTAACTGAACAACTGTTAGTTTCTCAAAAATAATTATGGCCTGCTGAGTTAATCAGATAATGCGAGGAACGAATTCATTATCCAAGAGCCGTGTGCTACTAGATCTACGAATGTGCTATGTTAAGTTTTTACGTGCTTGTTTTACAGAGCGTAAGATTGCTTCGGTATCAAATCCATTGGTTATAATACCTGATACGTTGCGCACATCAGCAAAGTCTACGAACACACGTGTGTGAAATACAAGTATATTCGCTCTGTTTGACCGGAAATAATATCTCCGCTTACATTTTGTTTCGTCTAACGGATATGACGTTCCTCAGTGATATAGGTTACAAAAATTTTCCCCCGGTATTCCTTTAGAGTGCAGTAACATCTAAGTTGAATTGAATTTTGGATTGCCGTCTTCTAAGCACTTATATTTGAGATATTACGGAGCTGATGCGTATCTCTCCCTAATATCTTTACTTGTACGTGCACTGGAATGCTATTTTATCTTTCATATTATAATTCAGTACGCAGGTGTTAACTTTTGTGGGCGTATCATCTTGAAGTGATGTAATGAAAGCTGTTTACTTCCAAAGATTACAATATTGTATACTCGTGATGAATGTAAAGATAATACCCGAACATAGAACGCTGTGTGAATTAATTTCAACACGGTCGTCTGGTAACAATATGAGACAACGTTAATTCCGCAAACATGAAAGTTGATGAACGTTGATGGCTCCAAACACAATTTCCTGTTTTATGATGACAGATTTTGATGTGCAAACAAATGACACTGGAGTTCATTTTTCTGGCCAGCCATACATTTATATTCTGCAATCGTAATGGACGAACAACATTAACAAAGCAAGAAAAAGTTTCAAATGTACCAAAGCCCCTTCGTATTATTGGGATGATAAAATTAAGTGAATTATAGAGTCGCGTTATGCAGTGTGCATGAGAAATACGTAAATACATAGTACGGTTGAAAATCCTGAAAGGAAACGACTATTCGGAAGATCTAGGCATTAAATAACGCTCCTTGGATCTAATTAGTATCTACCCGTTGGTTATCAGGCTGGGCGAACCGCAGAACAGAGAAGAAAATTATTTTGGTCCTATGGGAGCAGGTGCATCGTTCGACCAGTTCATAACTAGACCTCGTACTAATGTGATCCGTGGGTACAGAAATGAATATCAGGCCTACGTGTAGGCTAGTATAAGAGCCAGTTTAATGCTGTCATCCCGTGATATTTATTTTAGCTCGCAGTGGAAATATGTATTTAAATAGATGCGGAACTGGGGAAAACCTTTAAACTACGCACTGGAGTGTTCGCCTAATGTGTTTCGTTGTTTTATCGTGTAGGCATGTTTTAAGCTATATTTCTATGCCCATGAGCTGTTTTAAATTTATATTACAGAGTTAAATATTAGTTTTTAATTACTACGAAAAAGAAGAGATGTTTGAGAAAGGACGGAAGGAGGTACAAGTACCAAAGGGAGGAAATAAATGAGAAAAGGGGGAGAAAGATAACGATAGAACGAACACATGGAATATGGGAGAAAGTAGGGAATGAGATAAAGTGGTGGATATAAGGGACTGCAAGAAATGAAGAAATACTTCAAGTGACTTTTTGGGCTATTTGTTCGGTAACGCTTGAGAGAAGGCTCATGAAACGTGTGTACGCTACATCACATTCCATCACGACGGCAATAAGACCCTGGTTACATTGATTTGTTTTTATATTTTGCTGGTTAGGCTCTCACATACGCTGCTCCTCAGAGTTATATTTTCTCTGTGACCACAAGGTAAATAATATCTGTTGTGCATGTGGGATTCGAAATAGTACGTGGTTCTTAAGACTGCATTGCTGCAAAATTAATTATTTCACACATTAACTTCCATGTTGCTTTAGTTGCGTCTTCTCTCATCTGTTTAGACCACCTCCACGGAATTTATTTTTGTGGGGTTCTTGACAAAATTATTCGGATTTTGCAATAGCAGTTCTATAGCTATCTGCAGACAGTGGGTGGTATGTTTAGGCTGATTTCATGATGACGATTATTTTGGTAAAAAATTCGATGACATTCATTATTCTTGTTTCCGAAGTTGCTGTCTGGCCTTAATGCGACCGGAAAACTACTTCTTTATGTTTAAAACCATTAATCAACGAAGTTGTCAATATCTTGACCATTCGAATTTTTACCTCCAAAGAAGCTAATAAACTTTCCCGCGCAAAAATAATAACCGTTAAGAACAACACACTTACAAGAAAAGTGCGGATCATTAGCGCTGTTAGCCAGACCTTGGAGGCAGTGGCTTTACGACCGATAACTCATTAACAGCGTTGCCATGGCAACGATTATAATTTGATCATACATCATATAGTTATAAACATTATCTCACTATACTTGATGTATATCTATATATAAAGACGATAAATAATGTATATTCCTTAATTTCGCACACTGATACCGGAAAGTGAAAGAGTTAGTAGGACAGAAAAATATATTATTAGAATCCTGGTATCTGATCTCACCGTATTTACTTTATTAAAATATTTTCCAAGAATCGTCTCAGAAAATCTTAATTTGTACTGTTTATAAATTGGAGGTTTATAAATACATTTTTAATAGGAACTGTTGAGGGGAAGAAGTTACTTGAAAGACAAAGGTGTATATGGAAGAATAATTTTAAAATTTATCTTTGACTAGAATGTATAGGAAGGCACTGGATTAATCTGATTAATGATAGGCTCGGTGGCACGCTGTTTTGAACGCAGTAACATTACCTTAAATATAATAAAAAATAGGAAATTTCTTAACTACCTGTGAGGCTGGTAACTTGTAGAAGTACTCATTCGATGGAGTTAGAATAATAATATAGTAATGTAATAATTGTAATTGGATTTAACTGACTTGCTCGTTTTTTATACAATGAAAAACCTTTGTTAAAAAAATATTGTTTTGACAAGCTTAATGACATCGATGTCTTAAAGAATTAGTTAATATGGTATTGTTACGCATTATACATAATGAGTCCAAGATATATAGCCCATAACGATAGATAAATTGTTGAAAAGATCCTATAGGAAGCTGTTCGATGCTGGAAATTAAAGTAAACATAACAAAAGTGAATTATAAATTACAATTTATGTATGTTTTTACTGTACTTTTCGAGACTCGAAATGTGTCCTCGTTTTAAAATTGCGAAGTTATCTCAGTCAACCCACGAAAACACGAACTACCAAGGACTCTATTTAATTCGTTAAATATTCATGTACGCGTCCGTGGTACGTACCAAATGCAAATATAAGTCGTTACCGCTCCAACAAATTCCGCTATTCTTGTAGAGACTGTAGTTCTGTCAGTGTAATGAAACCCAGGGTCCGATAGAATTCTCATTTTAACTCAAGGGCTAATCTCACGAAAGAGAGAAAAAACGTGATTCTAATATTTACAATGACAAACTTCTCATCGATTTCCTTCCATGCTTAAAATAAAAAAAATTGTCTTTTGCTGTCGGTATGTCTACTAAAAATATATTTCTCTCTCGCTAGGAATGTAATGTTTATTTTTCCCTCAAGTTGCACGTCTGTCTTAATTTTAAAAAAATGGCTGCCCGGAATACTTAATAATGAATAAGTTTTCCTTCCTGCACTCTGACCGTATAATGTAGGTCGTCTTTCGACGACGTATTTTCTAAACCTGCGTGTTAGCCGATAATTTCTGAGTCTAAGATCCGCATAGGAACTCGAAGGCTGTCGTGCTGCATAAGTATTTTTGTGTGTAATTTGGTGTGGAGCGGATTCTGCCTCAACGTTGCAAAACGGAAACAAGTCAACAGTGGTAGTAAAAATTGTTAACAGAGTCATGCATGCACCAAAGTTGCCATACTTAATATGCATTTATGTACACATAAACCATTTTACTGTTGGGCGGTCGAGCGTGGTGACATGAATGCAGGTTTTCATATTGGTGTCGACAGGTGTATACATTTCTTTAAGAAACTACCGAATATAGAACTTGGCCGCTTCAGATCAAAACTCTGGAATTTAAACTAAAAAGTTCTGTTTCCGATTCCAGGTCTGTACGGATTTTCTCTTTACAGATTGGAGCCTCCAGCGCGGTCTGAGACAAACACGGGGGAGAAGTTAAGTCTTCGAGGACCCCGCAGTGGTTCGTTGCGATATTAAACTGAAGGCCCCCTCCGCCGACCATCCTCATTTCACCCTGTCATTGGTGCTACCTGAACTCGCCCTGTGGGCTAAGGTGCCCCCTAGGCCAGGAGAGGTCGTGATAGATGTTACCTGTAAGTATTAGAAACCATCGTAATATTTTTATGTTGGTAATAGATTTAGAGAACCTGACATACATACGACCGTGCCGTGAACTCAAAGACCAAGCGTTATGAAACTCCGTTTAGGAGAAAATGATTTAATATCACGTGAATCACTTCAAGATGGCGGCACAACTGCGTGCTGGTGACGTGTGAGGTTAGTCTTTGGGTCTTTTCAAATAGTCTTTTCGATTTTCTCGTTTTTACTTTTCAAAATAATACTTTGTGTGAAGTGAAGCTAACAGTTACCTAGCTGATTTGTCATGTAGGCCTGCTACATTTTTTTGTAAGTTGTTTTATGCATGTAATCATTTTTTTTTTTCAAATTCATTTAGGTATAACGGGTGAGAAAAAATAAAATTAGTCTAAAACTTTTAATGAGAGCTTAGCTTCGTACACCGACCGCATTATATCCAAGGAAACGAGTCCCTTTGCAGTCCACGTCTCCTGTGACTTTTTTGCTCTCAAGGAAATTTCATTCTGTAATACGCAATGTCATACAGGACTCCATGTGGCGGCTGCAGTTGGGCCTCATTTTGTACAGGCTAAGCGCAATCATTTGTAAAGATGAACCTGTTTTTATTTCACAGAGTAGCCAATAACAAATTGACTGTTAAGGTCTTTCTTAGGTTGCGTCCGACTACCTGACGAAAAGTAAATTATTCTGTATATACGACTTCGGTTTTAATTTTGCATGTGATTTAAACGTGTTTGCATCTTACTAATTCGTGTTAAGACACTGTTATTTATTGCTATGTAATTACTATAAACCACAAATAAGGCAGTGCTACTGTAATACAATGTATGTATAAAGCAGTTGGTGCATTGCACTTGAAGCAGCTAGTTGCTTCTTCATCCGTTTCGGGAAAAAGAAGTACAAATTCTTACGTGTCATCATTGCTAATGCCAACGAGTACAGGAAGTTGTAATGCATTTTCTGCACAGCATGAGCATTTGGTCGATAAAGAAATCGCACGAGATTTCTGCTAAAAAGAAGTAAAGACATGACGGAACGAAGATCAATCTATTTTCTTTAACATAAAGTAGCTAAGTTTCTGGTACTCGCAGTCTATTTTTTAATTCCAATAGCAGAAACGGTCATAGGTTTAATAAGTTAATAACTGAGAAACTTACATTATCTGTACATAGTGCATATCTGTGCCAAAGTGGTGTACACACCCCAGTCGCATAATCAGAACATGACCAAACGAAAGCTGAATTGTTATATCACTTAGATCTTGCGGTTTTATGCATGGTAATATTCTCATGAGATCCGCAAGAACATGTCTACTTTCTTAAATCGATTATTAATTTTAACGTGGAATATAAATGTATTGTGCGATGAAGACTACTGTAAATCCTCTTACTTCTAAGATCGAGAGAGTTATTCCTGTCATAAATCTCCAATTCACGTTTCCAAAAATTATCAGAAAACGTTGCTTTCCGGCGCAATGAGAAGAATTTGAAGTTGGATTTGAAGTTTTCCTACGGTTGTTTCATCTTGCATGTCCCCGCTTTGTTAAAACCCTAATTATAATCACGTGACACATCCCGCCTCGTGTTAAGTGGGGTCTCTTGTTATCACTGCATTAACGTCGCCATGTTGAAGATGGAGATGAGCTCCAGACATGCAGTGCATCTGCGAAAGTGTTGAATATGCATTAGTAGCAAACAGCCGACAAGGTTATACACTCCAGCTCTTGGGTTCGGGATGGTCTCATCACACGTTGCCAACAGAAGGTAACACGTTCCATGTGGGCCTAAGCCTCAAACGGACTTTCGTCGCCACTTAAGTACCTACCTTCATTAAGAAGAACCCCCCCCCCCTTAGAAATTAACAATCTGCTAAGTCCACAACCTCGCACTGTATTAAGATTTATTTAATATTATCCTTCCATTTATGATTAGATATTCCAAGTATTCTTTTTCTATCAGGATTTTACATGAAAACAAGATATATATATAAAGTCGAAAATCAGGAGTTTACAGGACAGATTAGCACTGGAAAATGAAAAATACATTTTAAATGTTGGTCGAAAAACCTGAAAGGAAAATACTGCTTGGCGCAAGTGGGAGGGTAATAATAAACTGTTCTTACTTTGGATCTGTAGTCAAAATGTGAGTACTGATCATGTCTGGTATAGCCTACCCACTACTCCAACTTGGAAAGGAACATTTCCCTGACTACAATCTCACGTCTTCAGTTATCTCACAGTTCATGAATTTTACAAGTAAAGTGATGTATTAATAAACCCAATAAGTAGTAGGTGTAAGTACGTAAATAATTTCTTGTTGTTTTTAAATTGATAATTGATAATTAATAATCCGTAATTTACTATGTTCCTCGTTTTCTCATAATTTCCTTTTACACCGTAACGAAAAGTAGGCTTGTTTCTAACAACGTTTGCAGGTCTCAACGTGATATATAGTGTATACGCTGGCATATAAATGTTTTTTGTTGTTGTTGGAATGACGGTTTTCGAGAAATATATAGGTTGTTCTGGACTTTCAAGTAAAACTATTGTGAGCCCAGGCCAGTAGTGGTCTGATAAGAACCAATGTGCCATTCACCCAGCAGTTCCTACAAAGTTTAATCTAACCCTGTTAAATGGTTTGGGACGCGAAATATACTGATCGACAAACTCACAGATGTGTTGGAGCTCCCCATTAAAAGTTCACATCTTGCCTTTTATACATAACATCATATATAGGAGCGCAAAAATTTCTCGTCATGGGTCTCCTAATTTGTCCTTCGAAGTATTAAATAATATTCCACCTTTTATAAGATAGTGTAGTTGCGTCATATTGTGATTTATTAAATTAAAATTAAATTATTTGGTTATTCCGTCAAATCACAATGTATTTAAAATAAGATAATTAAAATAATTAAAATATCATTCTGTGTTCCATATCGAAGTATCAATATAAGTATCAGAAACTTATTTTACAACGTTAGCATCCAACAAATAAGCTGTGATTGCATTGATAGGGCTTTTTGTATAAAAACTTTTACGTTATTCTGTTACTTTTAATAAAACCGAAACATGTTGTAACTGTTCCAATTGTAAATCGATTATTCGATATGGAACACAGAATGATATTTTAATTATTTTAATTATCTTATTTTAAATACATTGTGATTTGACGGAATAACCAAATAATTTAATTTTAATTCCACCTTTTATGTTAAAGTGAAAAATTTCATACAGCTCGAAATGTAAACACTACATTTTGATGTAGTACAAAGTTCCTATTTCTTAGGTTCCGAAATTCCTCGTAAAAGGAGGGCATTTTTGAAGTGATGAGTCACTGGGCTAAATATCACTTAAGCAGTAAAACTGTCGAATAACTACAAAATTACCACAGGTGCTAATGTTTACATACACGATGCATCGGTAATAGTTAATACTACGGAAAGGAACCATGTGTGAATCAGCTTAAACCTAAATCAGCACAGTGCATGTGTTTACTGTTTGTTCAATTAAGAAATGGGGGTATTAGGTAAGCATACTCCTCATGTAGCAGCTCTAATATGTCTATACGTTTAAATGTCTATTTGTAGGTCTATAGATATTTGTACAAAACGTTGTTTAAGTAATTATAATGTCTCAAGATTGAGGCAGTCCCAAACGGAACTAAATTCTGAAACATAAAATACAAAATATATTAAATTAAATTAAACAAATTCGGTGAATTCCGAAGCCATTATTTTTCAATTGTTTTACACATTTCTTATCTTCTCAGCGATAAATGTGATATGGAATAAAGTTAAAAATGCATGTTCACTTTTAACAGATTTTTCAGGAAATAAATTTGAGAATTTTTGTTTTTGCAACATTAACCACATCATGTTTCAGAAAGTTTCTATGGAACAAAGTTGGTGATAACATCCTTGGCTTACACTCCAGCTGGTCGTAATTGGTTCTGATATTTGTTCATTCACAGCGCTAATCATTACGTTGTGACTGACGACTGTAATCTTGCTCTAGGTCAACTTCGGTGAGGATTCAGGTCAAGATTTCCTTTTCTCTGAAGTTGTAAAAAGTTAGGCCTTGTTTCTGATTTACAAGACCAATAATGGTGCTATTAGTATTCTACAATAGTATATAAACACGACTCATCTGCCTATAGACAGCTCATTTCCTATAGAGCGATTCAGAGCTTTATTACAATACCCATGGAGGTCGTTGGAGAAATTATTTGGAGCAGAAAATGCAAATAAATTTTCTTTTTTCAGACACCACCTTTTCCGAGTTACAACGTTAGTACCTTGATATCGCTTTAATTATGGCAGCCGATTTTACAAATTGGGAACAGTTCTTTTTTACATAACGTGTTACTTGAATATTTTTTGCAATGAAACAAAGAAGAAAAGCTAATTCTGCCTTTATGGCATATTTCAATCGTCACGTCACAGAACCTCCATTTGAGCAGTTCTCAGTTAATGAGGCAGGGACTTGTCAGGGCACTGAATGTACTGCACGTGATCACAACAGGTGTTCGAAGCATCATTCATCAGCTTAAGTCCCCATCACACAATCACAATAATATAAAGCGACATCAACATAGAAGCATCGTCACTCGGAAAAGGTGCGAATTTAAAAAAAATAAGGCTATTTATATTCTCTGCTCAAAATATTTCTCCAGAAACCTCAAGTATTGTATTAGGACTTTGAACCAACTTGTACTTTGTCCGCGTCAGTGCCTGAAGTTCGTTATCACCTGTCATTGAAAAGAAAGTTGTTTATTTATAAGATTGCTACACAATGAAGAACAAATAAAAAAGTAGCTTAATAATCTATAGGCCCACTGTTCATGAAACTTTATTAGGATTATAAAGGAAGATGAGATGGGCTGGAATGTAGCACACATGAGAGAGATCAGAAATTCATAAAAATTCTGTTAAGAAAATATAAAGGAAAGATACTTTTTAGAATCGTGGTATTCAACCTGGGGTACGCGAAGACATTTTA